ACGTGAAGGGGTGAAGGATGATAGCAATGACGTTCACGTCTTGCAGGCTGGTTGGAAGCAGTGGAAGCGGTGGAGAAGCTCGGGTCCTTGCTTAGTTGATGCCTCGGACGTGTCCGCATTAACTACACAATTCCTCACTCGGGCCGCAAAACCGCGAAAAATAGACTCATCGAGGAAGCGCCGCCATCCATCGACACGTGCGCATAGCGTAGGCTTTTAACACCACAGGATTTCAGTCCTTTACTTTTGAGATGCTTCATGCATTACAATTTTATTCATGATATTCATATGGACGTATTTTATATTGTGTTAAATTGTGTATTAAGTGCAAAAAATTGCATTTTTAGACGCGCAAGTTTAATTATTCAACAAATATCAACATATTTAATAATTATTTTGGATAAAAGTCTTAAAAAATTCGCCGAAATAACAATTTTTGCCTTCACGTGTTTAAAACTAACATTTTACGCACTTAATGAACGAAAACGGTTAAATCTTTAAATATATGATGTATAAAATATGTTTTTTAGACACAAGTGCTTAAAATATTTCCTTTACATACTCAAAAATCTCCAAAAAGTCAATATTCCTCTGTTTTACTAAACAAAAAGTTTTCCAATGTCTAAAGAACTCTCAACAAAAACCTCTACGATGCTTCAATTTTGAGCCGGGAATTAAAATGCGTGGCTCTTAGTTTTAGTTAATATTCTAAGCGTCCTAAGCACCGCCTTTCATTATATCCTTCCAGCGCGCTAAACATTCTTTTGTTTTCGAGCGTCTATTGTTTAATCCGCTGAGAGGCGCACTGCGCACAACACGCCATCACAGCTCCTCGCGAATCTATTATTAGGAATTGAATGTGCGCGATGCTTATTACAGCCGGTAATTGCATTGAAATAGGGGATGAAAAGCGAAATAGCGCGCGGCGGAAAAAAGGAGGAAGCGATTTCCAGGGAATAAGGAATAATGCCATTGATATTGGGAATTTCAAAGATATTGACTACATTTCGTTCATTTAACCAGGATAAAAATAGCCGGAAAGTTAATTTGTAAAAAGTGAATTTGTAAAAACTCAAGAACTATAAGAGGTAAAAACATAATTCTTTTGTTAATTAGTAGGTAATTAATTAAAGAATCAATTTATTAGAGACAAACTTCGTATAACGAAGAAATTTGTATAATTTTGTTGGTTTATATTAATTTTCTCTGTGTAACGACAAAAAATATTTTAATTTCTAGCAATTATGAGCTAGAATATTTTTTCAAAGACTTGACATTGATGGTAACATTTGAAATATTGTTGTAATTATGCAACCCAACATCCCTACAAATTGCAATGCAAATTTCTATAACTTAAGCACGGTTTTTCAGCAAATTTGTTGGGGTGCACGTTGCGTTACTACAAAATCATTTAAACATAAAACAAGTAAATACAACTGAGCACAGCGGAATTCATATTTAGACTTCAGAATATATTTACTGGCATTCTTACTACCATAATTGTGTTTATAACCAGCTTATAAAAAAATTAAATAGATGCCTGTCCGCGTATAATATTTTTATTTATTATGATGATTGTTTTTTCAATTTATTCTTACTCACAAAATATAATTAAACGATGCGCCGCGCAACATCAAAACGTCCACTTATTCCATCCTAATGAAAGCTGGAGAAATTGAAGAAATTGCGCAAACGGAATGAACTTCCTTCACCAATAGCTTCTTTCTCAATCTATACATGTAGTTTCCCCGGCACACGGTGTGCGCCTTAGAAAACCGGGCGAAATTGAATTGAATAAGAAGCTTTCGGCTAGGCGGGGGCGGCCGACGGCGGCGAGAGAGGTTTCCTCGGCAAGCCTGGCTGGGCTAAAAGGGCGGCGGCGCACACACGCACCGAACGAGGCCAAGCGGAAGAGATTGTAACCGGCGAATTGCTTTAAAGTCTTCCCGTTTATTTTCGATCCGTGCGCATCCTTCAAACACTCGAGCAAAAAATAATTCGCTTTCTTGTTAGATTTCAACTAGACGTAGATATGCGAAAGTAATTAAATTTAATAAAACGTCAATCAACTTTATATAATTTTATATAATCGAATAGCTGTTAAGTTAGGTTAGGTTGAAAATAAAAATGAGGTTACATTTGTAGTACGTCAGCAGTGAGACTACGAGTATGTGACAATGACATATTTGATAAAAAAATATGTAGGAATATCAATGACGGCAATAAAACATGCAACAGCTATCTTGCCGCCTCCACCGCCGCCGCCACCGCGCATTTCTCGCGTTTTATTCGCTTTATTCATTTTTATTTTTATTATCTTCGCATTGTACATGGTCCAGGATCGAATCCGACCACCCCCATCTATTCTCATCCTTTCCGTCGGTATTTTATTTCATTCCGTTTCGTCGACGGCGCTTTCAATGGATCTCAATGCGTGTGCTCGACCCGCGGGCGCACAAGTCGCACATATCTATATTTTCCTATTCAATTTTCGACATATTCTTTCCTTCCGAACGTTCCTCGACATGTCTGGAGTCCTTCGACATTATGCTTTATTGAATTTCATGCATTGTTGAGACTTGCGACGGCCATGGATTTGCACCCTCAGATGTTTTTCAATAAAATGAAGAGGAATATATATTTGTTATTATTTTAACGTGGGGGGAATTATTTTTGGTAGGGTTGACATGATGACAAAGGTGTCTTAACGGAAAGAATTGAATATTTGTTTAATGTAGTAGAAATTCAAGGGAAAAAGCGGAAAAATGCGAGAAAAAGGAAGCGGTGGGCAAGTCAGGCGTAAGAAAGCCGCCGAAAATGTGGATGGAATCTAGTGGGCCGGAAACGGCCGGAAGTAACTAACGATCGTTAGTCTTTAACGCCATCTATCGCGTCTTAAGTCTCTCAATTATCGCTGTTCAGGTAGAAAAAAGCAAAAAAGTCATTTTTTCATTCTTTTCTTTAAAATTACACGAAAACGGTATAACTTACAAAATCACAATAAAGTCCTTTTGATAGTCCTTATCAAAAACTACCCCTTAAGTAAAAAATAATTAAAATAACTATTTTTATTCCCGAGTTACAAACAAAAAATTTTTATTTTTTATTTTTGCTTTTTAAACTCCACAAAACACTAATTAATATATATAAAATAATTTTAATTATTTAAATTAAATGAAATTAATACCACGCGTCAAACCAACCCCTTTTATTTCGCGTTAATCTCGCACATTTGTAACATTATAACGAAAATCACCACCAGTGGCAGCGGCGAGCGACTTATTCGTCTACAAATAATAACACAGCGCTAATTCGCGCTCGCGCTGCCGCCACAGCCGCAAACGCAAACGCCAACCCGGGGGTTGGAAAAGGATGTGCTTTATCATCTAATTTCACGCCTCGCCGGAGATTATTACGCCGGCAGTCACGTATCTGAAGACACATCGTGCAGCGCGACGTGTGCGATACGCGAGAGGACACATTTTCCTTTTCAACGTTTTCCACGTTTTCCCAACACATGGATGGACAACAACGGATTTAATTATGAGCAGTAGATAAAGCCAAGGGTTGTTAGCGCAAAAAAAATAAGCTTCGTTAGTAAAACAAGTAAAAATCTAACTTTGGACACATTGTATGATATTATACACATAAAAAATAACATGAAGACGAATATAAATCACTTTTATTAACGTCAGGATTGAATCCAAGGCGAATTTTTTACATGCGCGCCATTTTGGAAAAGAAATGTGTCAGATATGGGTTAATTTTTCATTTGTAATGCTGGTTGCATACAGTTAAGCGTTAAACGCATCAACGTTTTGTTACAATTCTTTCATTCGTTTTTTTCCTGTTGCGTTTTGTGTGATGGTTGAAATTTTACGAGCGTTGCCACCCCCGAATGTACAAAATGCTGCTGCAGCAACAGCATCAGCAGAACGAATGGTGGAATGGCGACGTCGAGGATAATCATATTTTGTTTTTCGTCGCTTTCTCGTTATCCGGGCGCGTTCGCAAAAAAGCAACACTCAAAATGAAAATTGCACTTTACCACACACACACACGCATACATCGACTATAGTTATACAAGCAGAAGCGCGGAGGCGGCAATTGAAACACCCCTTGAACAGAGTTTGAGTTTCTGCAGTCAAACGCACGCAAATCGCGAACATGTAAATGTGTGCATTGAAACGTCGCACAAAGTGACGCGCTCGGTAATTAGAGCGCCCGCCGCCGCTGCCACCAGCCGCCATGTTGTGTAGTGTGTGTGTGTGTGTGTAGTTGTAGTCGTAGGGTCTGTGCAGTGCACACACCGAGTGTAAACATTGAAACAGCCGAAACGGGTTCGGGCTGGCACGTCTGGGTTTTTGGGGGGCGGCGGTGGCGGCGGTTGGCGGCCGTTTGCGGTCTAGCGCTAATGTTTTGCTCGCCAGCTCGCGCCACATTAGGCATTAATGCACATCGAACGTACGTGCGCGCCCTTTGCATGCGGCTGCCGCCCCCGGGACAACGGGAAAAAATCGCTAAATAATTGAGACCTTTGCGGAAACATGTCGGCTACACTAAACAGTGATGTCTTTATTGCCGACAGGGTAAACTATGAAAAACGGCGGGGGAATTAACATAATTTTGGGGGGCAAAAAAAGTTTTCAATTTTCAAATCCTTGTAACTTATTTAATTTAAATCGTAGAAAATTGGTTAAAAAATCATTTTGAAGATAATTTAAAGGACTTTAAGATGGTTTCGAGATAAACTAAATATGTTGATTTGTTTAGACGTGAGAAAGAAAAAAGTGAAAAATTTCTAAATGAAAATTTGAAAATCTAATATTAAATTGTCAATAATTCGAAAACTATCACAGATAGAAATTTAGTTCTTGGTTCTTTTGATAGATGGCGCCATTAACAGTATAACCTATAAAAACAAATAAACTAACTATTAATTAACTAACTAACTATTAACTTTTCATAAATTCCTCATTTAACTCTCTTTTTTTTTTCAGATTCTATGCAAGCACTATGCAAAAACCACTTCCTACAGCAGTTGTATCGCAAGATAGATGGCGCTGTGTTGTGGTCTCAGAACGAACGCAACCTGGACTGCATTATCACCTTCCAGACGCACTCGATCCTGCAGCGTTTCATGCTGCGCTTCGACTTCCTCCAGCTGGACTGCAACGATCACCTCTACATCTACGACGGCGCGCATGCTGTCGGCACGTACAAGGTAAGATTTGTAACAAATCCGCGACGCTTAAAACTTTCGCCGTGCGCGCACAGTTCGTTAATCCTTTTACCCCCGTGTGCTTTGTGTTCTTCTGCTCGCAGTTTGATCTTTCGTGTCGCAACACGAAGCAGAATCTCGGCGCAATGTTCACGCGCACCAATTACGTGACGCTCAAGTACGTCACGGACAACTGGGGCACCGACTCCAACGGTTTCAAGCTCGTCATCACGGCTGTTAAGGATCCGAGTAAGTATATTATACCTTCTTGTGAAGTTAGGAAGAGTGGCGATTTGGGAGCGATTTCACTTAGTTTCTCAATGCAGAGGTACAATAAGAGGGAAAGTTAGCGGCGGTTAACCGGTAACTTTTTTTTAAATTACTCGTAACTCGTTAGGAATTCATTTGATTTGAAAAATGTTTTTGTAATAGTTTACTTCGGTTTAATGGGAACCGCTATATGAAATTTTATTCTTTTTTGTCGGTTATCTCAAGAGATATTTGAAGAAACAAAAAATACCGGTTATTTCTTAATATTAAAAACACATCCGATTCAAAATTTTCTTTTTTTATATTATTCTTTTCATCTCTAGCAATCTCTATGTTTAATTTTATCAATGTTTGTCAAATATTTTAGGAGTTATTTGGAAAAAACAAAAATACCGGTTATTTTCCATCATTAAAAACACATCCGATTTGAAATTTTCTTTCGGGATACTATTATTTATATCTATAACAACCCCTATGCAAAAAATTATCAATATTTATCAATTATTCCAGAAGATATTTGATAAAGTCAAAAATACCGGTTATTCCCCTGACAATTTTTGATTATATTCTACCCAAATCACTCAATCAATGTCTAATCGTCGTTACAAGTCAATTTCCTTTGTCCCAACTAGCCAATAATCCAATATTAGACTTCAATCTCTCAAATGAACGCGAATGCGCATGTAATTTTCAGAACATGCCTGCACCGAATTCCGCTGCAACCTGCGCGAATTCTGTATCGCCAATGATCTCATCTGCGACAACATCAATCACTGCGCGGACGGTTCCGACGAAGTAGCCAGTACTTTATGTCAGAGTATGTCTACCTCTAATTAAAAATACTACACATTATTACCTGTTATATTCTTCATTAACAGACAGCGATACCGGAACCATCCTAGGCATGGAGATGACTTGGTTTGTCGTGGTCATAGTGAGCACCCTATTGGTTCTCCTGGTGTTTATCGTCGCCATATCAATATGCCTTTGTAAGAAGGGTCTTGGGGGCAGGAATAACGTCCAACAACAAAACTATTCACGTAATTAGACGCTGATTATGTTTTAGTGTAGTATTGTTTTTTGTTTTGTGTGTTATTGATCCGTGCAGTGCAACAAATGTATGGTGGATCGAATGGTGCGATGAAGCCCGGCTCAATGACAACGCTGCCTGCGGGAGGTGGCGGTGGTGGCATGGGTTTGGGCGGCGGCGGCAATTGCAATCAGGGAAACTGGTGCCGCCCTGCGGGCCCACGAGGGTTCCGAATCAGCACGCCGGTCCGGGTCCGCCTCTACTGCCAGGCAAAGTGAGGCACACGTCCGCCAACGGCGGCGACGCCGACCTCGTCGTCCAGAGCCAAAAGGACGAGTGGTTTGTCTAGCAGCAGGTAAAAAACACCAAAAAAACAAAATTTTAAAAAATAAAAATTAAACCTCATTCATTCCACCTCTGTGAAGTAAGTAATCTATATTCTGCTATTATTTGTTTTTAATGGTTTAGAGGTGTATCCGGTATTTTAACCGGCAGCCTGCAGGGTGTATCGACCGGAGTGAAGAACCCAACGCTCCGGCAATCACTACAAGATCTAAATATATATTATGCAACCACAACAACAGTATGCAAAACCATCAAGTTTTTAACTTAATCAAGCGCGCGGAAGCAGCAACTCTTCTTCAAACCGCAAAGTGTAAGTTAATAAAATATCTTTCCGCCAACACAACCCCCTCAACCCCCCCCTTTTAAAAACCCAATACTCTACCCAACAACCCCCAAAAACTTTTTAATTGCTAAAACACGAATATAAACGAATACGAAAGTGACAAACAACTTAAATCATATATAGTCATATTAGAGCGAGAGCCAGTGACGGCCAGACTTTCGTCATTTTAGGAAAGATGAAATTTTGTCCATGTGTTTCTCCAACACAGGTAAGAACGATCCCCAATTATGAAACCTGGATCGTGGTTCCTTTGGCAGTTAACAGCCAACAAAGATGTACACATGATGACCTATGTTTCGTTATTTTAGCAAACTCCATTTTTGCATATTTTGTTCGTCACATTATTATAACATGCGCTGCTCATTGCCAGACACCTATTATGGTTTCAACCCTAGCCAGACACCTCTGAAGTATATTATTTTTTAACTTTTTTACTTTCGTTATATTAAGAAAGCTGAATTTGATACACATTATACAGAGAGCTATGAAACTGTGTTTTCCAGCACGCCAGACAGTTTGGTCGGTTCTATCATCCTGCCAGACGCATTGAAAGTGTTAAAAGTTGCAAAAGTTAAATTGTTTAAACATGAAATTTTCAGAAAACAGTTATCGACGACAGTGATGATTATTATTAAATATTTGTTCAAATAAAATAACTGTTCTCTGAAAATTTCATGTTTAAACAATTTAACTTTTGCAACTTTTAACACTTTCAATGCGTCTGGCAGGATGATAGAACCGACCAAACTGTCTGGCGTGCTGGAAAACACAGTTTCATAGCTCTCTGTATAATGTGTATCAAATTCAGCTTTCTTAATATAACGAAAGTAAAAAAGTTAAAAAATAATATACTTCAGAGGTGTCTGGCTAGGGTTGAAACCATAATAGGTGTCTGGCAATGAGCAGCGCATGTTATAATAATGTTACGAACAAAATATGCAAAAATGGAGTTTGCTAAAATAACGAAACATAGGTCATCAAGTGTACATCTTTGTTGGCTGTTAACTGCTAAAGGAACCACGATCCAGGTTTCATAATTGGGGATCGTTCTTTCCTGTGCTGGAGAAACACATGGACAAAATTTCATCTTTCCTAAAATGACGAAAGTCTGGCCGTCACTGGCTCTTGGTCTATATGGAATTAAATGTGTATATGATGTATGTAGTCGAAACATTTTTGGAGGTTTTTTACAAACAAACACAACAACAAAAACAATATCACGCAGTATCACATATCAGATGCAAAAAACATTTCGAACGAACAGCAATATCAAACAACAACATTAACATATCTGAAAATATTCGCCATTTTGAAATATCAGCAACTACAACAAAAAGAGATAAAAAAGTACATTTGAATCATATGATGATGTGTGTCAGACAATATTCTATCTTAACGATTAAAAAACGATTAAATTAACGTAAACTAAACTAAGTTTCGGTTTCGCTAGATGTCGCCTCTCTCACTTCATGAAAATCTTCTTATCACTTTATGTATTCATGCGAGAAAAAAATGAGAAAAACGAAAAAAAAACAGCATATAAATAAACTATACATACACTCACACACACCCTTAGGTAATGTACTATGAAATATGAAATATTCTATGATAAGGACAGAAGGATTAGTAAAATATTAATTATTAATTAATTGATAACAAAAAACAAACAGAAAAAAACGTGTATACATAGCGCCACTGATGACATATTGACATATTAGCATTGTTGTATCTAACGCATGTTTGTTTTGTCATGTTGGTTGCCTACAATTGAACGTAAAAAACAAAAACACGCACATAACCCAACTTAACCCAAAACTCTTTTTGCATTGCATTTAAATTAATTAGCGAAATTTGTTGATTTGAAAATATACCGAGTGTTATCTATATTATTCTGTATCTATATCAATCAATAAACCATGAAGCACGTAAACGACTGCTATGAAAAAGTATTAAACGACCACAGATGACGAAGAAAAAATACATTGATCATGATAATAAACTATTTGGTATTAAACTGTAGTGTTTTATACGTACAGGGTAATCACTAGTGGACGATTGAAAAAATGAAAACTCGAAAAAAATCGAAGACAACCGCTTACACTTGATTAAATAAACCTAAAACAAGAAAAAAAAAGAATCAATCAATTGCGTGGTTGACAGTTGGTACTTCTAGGTTATAGGACGCACGCGCCGCCAGGCGGCGCTGCTCAAAACATGTGTATACCTAAGAGAATAAAATAAAAACTAAAAACAGAGTTTGTTTTGAATCATCGCACAAAATGGCGTTTTTTCTTAACGGTTTTTGACTAGTGTCATTGTAGAGGGCGTTACTTGTCGAGATTGCAATTGTTTAAAGTTTAACTAAATTAATGCCGTAGCAAATATCAATCAATGTAAATCAATTCATTAATTATTATTGTTAACTGAATAACTGAAACGAAATCATACACACTCATAAATACACACAATCACATTCACACTCACACACACACTCACATAAACTGTACAATTGTATTTATTGTATGATAAATGTCAATAGCTAATGCTGAATATTATGATAATTATATGATAACGATTTAAGCGGATGGGTATAATTGCGCTGGGCAGACATTTTTCCTGTTTGCGATATGAAATATAAAGAAAATGAAACATGCAGAAACAAACATTGAAACATTGTGAAACACGTAATGTACGTACTAATAAAACAATTTAAAAATATTACCATTAGTATTGAATGTGTGTTTGTGAATTTTGGGTTGCCTATAGTAAAATACGTATGAGGTATACCATACATACCGGTTTAAAGTTGAGTCAACTTTGCGGAGCAACGCGTCGCGCACTTTGCGCATCCCGAGCTAAGCAACCTGCATCTTCGGCGTTCAGTTTGCTTCGGTTGAGGGGTTTGTGCGGTCGCGTGTTTACCGTGTGCAGTTTAGTCGTGTGAGCACGTGCGTGAGTGAATCATCTGCTTGCATTTAAATGCGCTGCAAGAAAAAGAAAAGTTGCACACAAACGAAATGATGATTTGATTTAATTTGACGGCGGAATATTCAGTGAGTGTGTGTGAAAATATGTCTTTGGAACGGCGCCGAAGAAAAATGTTTCGACTGTATTTGATGTATTTTATTGCGGTGTTTGTGATTTTCGTCGCAAATATTAAATGCGGGGAGTGTGCGAGGGTACGACATCAATCGCCGACGACTAAACAAGGTAAGAGATGTTGTTTACTATAAAAATCGCACAGTTGAGATACAGTTGAAGAAATGTCGATAACTTTTAAAGTATTCAAGATAAAAACATGATTTTTGCGTCTAAACGTAGTTTAGAATATGCACTATAAAATATAGTAAAGAAAAATTTAATTTTTTGATTTAATTAATGAGAAATTAATGAAAAAGATTAAAATATGGTTATTTTCATGGTGTGAAAAATGTAATAAACTTAAATCGGTAAATTTTAACATTTTCGGCACTGTTAACAGCCTCACACCTTAAACTTGCAACCAGAGGGTAGTAAATACCAACCCCAACCCCCACCCAACGTGGGCATTAACCTCCGACTCTTACTTGTACTTGGTACTTACATATTTGCATTTCATTTCATTTGCATTTTATTCTAATCTTGGTTACGGTCTCGGTTTCGCCCTGAGTTTCACTCCTCCGGACCTAAAATAAATCAATTTCACCAATAAAATTTTGTTATTCATTAATGCACAATATATTTACGTACGCTGTAAATGCGGTAAAGGTCTCATCAAATCCCTCTTCATCATGTCTGTCGTCGTTGACGCTGTCAGTGGCTGCGTTTCGCGATTATTTTCTGCGTCTCTTCGAGTGTGCGTCATGAACGGGAACATGGGACACACGAATGGAAATGGGAATGCACGCTCGTCAAGTCCGTCAACGCCGACATTTCGCGGCGTGCCATCGCCATAGTTGGCCCGCCGACCACGGCGACCACGACGTACTTACGTGTAGGTACTTACTTACTCACCGGCCGAAGAAACAACGCGACTCTCTCTCCAACTTGGTGGCGATTGTGTGAGCGCGGTGTACGTCGCGCGGGCATTCGATGCGCTTTCGCTTTGCGTTTCTGCGCGCCGCGCTTTTATCCAATTAGCCTTGAACTTGCGCGGATATATTTGAATTCAGAATATTGCTAGTCATGCTGGTTACCTAGCAACGCGTAGGGGTTGTCATGGCAACGTAACAAACTCGCTAGTCGCGTAGTGAAACAAGCGCATATTCTGCAGATAGAATCAGTCAATCGCCGAATATACACGAATGTTGAATGTAAGTATAACAGCGTGAGCGTCGAACCAATCGAAATGTAATTTATCGTCGTGGCGATGCCAAAGTTAAAGTTAAATAAACACGCGAAACACGAACGCGAGCATAAAAATACGGATTCATAAATTACGAGCGCGCGGACGTATCGTCATTTCTTTACAATTTGCATGAATAAACGCCGTAAAAAAGGATTTAACTCTTCTTGTGATCGTGTGTGTTTGATTTAGCGCTGCGCGTAAATCACGCCCGGGAGTGAATTACATAGAAAATTAGTTAGCGGATTGTTTTATGCAGCGTCATTGTAGCCGTGTATAGTGGGTTGCTGGATTTATGCGCAGGGTTAGTTATCGCGTCCATTCGACTATTAGCGCATTATCCACACAATAATAACACCGTCGAAGGTGCAATTTGTATGTAATTTATGCCGACACGATGTTGCATTATCTGCGATCCATTGAATTCATCTCAATCGACGCTATAGCCACAGAGTCACGAAGGATGCAAAACGGAGTTGCGCAGTAACCAAAGTTGTGTTAACCTAAAAAAATATTCGCGATTCGATAGGAAACTTTTTTCTTTTGTAAACTCGAAGATAAAATTACATCATAGTAATTCACTACGTGAACTAATAAATTGATAACGAAGGAAATGTAGAAATGTAGCATAGGAAGCGAATTAATTTTATATACTTAAGAAGTTTTTTTTTTTAGTTTTCTTTGGTAGTTTTATAACATTACTTCATTCGGCGCGATTTGTAGGTCTTGTTGCAGTTGTGCAGCAGCACATCGATCGGAAGTTGGTCGTGCAGTGTGCATTTTCTTCCTTTCCAGCGAGTTAGCGAGTTTTCCGACGCGCTGTCTTCGATTTCGATTTTCTTGCTCGAAACTCAACTCAACTCCCACTTGAAATCCAATGTCGTAATGGCTTTCTCATGCTTTTAATTTTTTTCTTTTATTTTTCAACATCTGCTAATATTTTTTGGATAAAATCTAATTTTAGGAAGAAATATCAAGTAATACTATCCGTTTATAATTAGCTAATATAATATCACGTTATATCGAGGTTATGTTACATCAAAGGACAAAAAATAACCAAATATTGGGATTTTACGTGATTTGCATCTGTTTAATATTTTCTAAGTTGGTTATATACTCAACAACACCACGCCTAGTGCATCACCAACAAATTATCTGACAAATCGTCCTTAGGTTAGGGAAATTTGGAAATTTTTTGTCGTTACCCAAAGAAACTGTAACGTTATAACTCGAAAATTAATATATACAGTAGAGTCCGGTTATAATGACATCGAAGGGAATTGACAAACACGTCATAATAAGCGGACGTCATACAAAGCGTTTTGTGAAATGAAAACCCTTTTTTATGTAAATATGTACATATACATACATATTAAATCAAAATCAAAATTGCACGTAATCAGCACATTATAACACATACAAGTGTATTTTTTACTGCAAGTAATCTGTAATTTTTGTCTGCTTTTGTTTATTCATTTCATTAATTTTCTTGTGATTTTCGAAGCCTCTTCGGTTTCAAAACATTTGAATTGAACGATTGCTGAATACGGTTCTTGTTTTTTAAAAAGCATTGAGATTGTCGAATGACCCACGCCAAATTCGGATTAATGGAAAATACGGATTAAGTCCTGGTCAAGGTGCTGCTGCCCGAATGCTTATATTTATTATTTAAGCATTTGGTCTTTCCGATAGTAAATACATAAAAGTAATTTGACAATCATAAAAGAAATGTAGCAATAAATACAAAAAGTTCGCCACGTGTCGAACGTCGTCGGGTATCAACGAACATTACCGGAGGTGTAAAGAATCATGTTGGTCATTATAACCGGACATAATCTATTAAAAATGGGTCATAATAAGCGACATGTCACTGTAAGCGAAGTCATTATATCCGACTTTTTTATACAGAATTTTATATGAAAACCAAACTTGGTAGTGTAGTTACGTCATAATAACCGGTTGGTCAATAAAAGCGGAGTCATAATAAACGGATTCTACTGTACCAACTAAATTGTACAAATTTCGACATTTTACAAAGTTTTTTCGTTAAAAAAAAACAAACGTTAATTAAATAATGATTTAATTAATAAATTACTTGTTTTTGACATACTAATCCCCACGATGAGGATTAGACACACACACCTTATTGAGAACAGCAACGAATAGAGAAGAGTTTGCTAATACTGTTGCCAACCTTCAGTAATGAAGAAGGCACCTAAAGAAGAAGAAGTCAAACATTGTGTACAAAATTATAATCGTAAATCATTCATCAACTAATTGAAAGAAATTAAAAGCGATGCGTAGCCAATTAATAAAAAAATGTTTATGAAGCGTTCGCCGTTTAATTAGCCCTCCGGCTGCTCCTTTTGCACCTTTAAAAACTTTTTCCCTATACCCGAGACTCGACTTATTTAATTATCGAGCGAAAAATGCCAAAATACGCCAAAACGAAGCGAAATAAAAACGCGCGCACCGCGAGTAAATTCCACGTTAATTGGCGGCGCGGACGCTTTGACTCTTCGTCCACTACTACACCATCACCAGCGATGCGCAGAAAAAGAACACACGAGTGTAGAGTATAGGCTTTAAATACAATCTGTCAGCGATGCTGCAAGCGGTGCAACAAAGTGTGCGAAATGGACAGCCGACAATATTGCACACGCCAACTCGTTAACGCTTTAAGCAAAAAACTTTTATTCTTACATAAGCATGTAAATTACAATTTGTAAAATCACAGAACTTTCGAAAATAATCAAAAATTTAATCCGAAACAAAAAAAAAAACGATTACAAATTTGTATTTATTTTATTTAATTAATTGGCTACCAGCAAACAGCGCATAAATTCCGAAATGGGCCCCAGCCACATTAAAAACAAGTCCGGCGGGTCGTAAATTAACTAAATTGGAAATTATTAATTTTCGGCGCGCGGTGAAAACCACACGACAGACGCACTAAAAGAAATGGTTATTTATTTTTATTGAAAAACGCCAAAACGCACATAAATGTGTCACACCCATGGTTACCATGGAAACATTAACATCTACAACATGAAATAAATATTTTAAAATCTATTTTTGACTTTTAAATTTAGAAAATCGAAAACTAAACACGAAAAGTAGAAAACAGAAGGGCGTACTTTTTTCGTTACTTGATTAACACTTTTACCAGTAGTGTCTCATGTCTGTCATTAGATGCATTAGTTAAATATAAACGAGTAGAGCTAAGTAAATTTAGACCAAAAATGGCCGCTGCCGATGAATCATCATTAAATCAATTTAAACTTTTGCTTTGATTTCAAACGAAACGAAAGTCTTAGGTTTTAGGTGGAAGGAAAAAAAGCAGTCGCAGCAGTGCGCTTGAAAAGTTCGGTGTGTGCACTTGAGCTAAAGCTAAGTTCACGGCCCTCGCCTTGATTGATTGATTAGGCCTGTAATTATGTCGAAACTTCAACTTGGTCGTTACACTGAGCTTTTTTTCGGCTTGTATCTTGAGAAAAACGTGGTTGACGTCTTTATTTTTAGAATTTTAAATATCAAAATGTTCATTTATCATCTCTTTTTGTCACGTTTGACGAGAGACAAAATTTGTATAATTATAAACAATTACTTAATCATAACACAAGTGAATACAACTGAGCGACGCGGAATTCATATTTAGACTTCAGGAATTATTTACCTGCATTTTCACTGGAGTAATTGAGTTTATAACCAGCGCAACAAAAGATTCAACAGAATGCTAATCCGCATAAAATCGTTTTGTTAGTTACAACGCTTATAACTCGAGAAGCACTGGACGGATTTTGATTATTTTTAATTTTTTGGGCTTGTCTTGGTCTGGAATAAGAGAGTAATTATTAAAATATTAACAAAATTGATATACAGGGTG